TGAATAAATTCTTTTTTAGAATAACATCTGGTTATTTTTAGCCGTTTCCTTGTGACTTTAAGAAAGTGTAATTTTGCGGTTGGGGTTGTAGCTCAGTGGTAGCGTGCTTGCCTAGCACATGTGAGGCACTGGGTTCGATCCTCAGTACCACACAATAAGAAAATAAAAGTATTGTATCCATCTACAACTAAAAAATAAAAATAAAAAAACGTATAATTTTAAGAGCAAACTATCTTGTAAAGAGGTAAAGAATATAGATAAGTAAAAATAAGAAATACAAATTTCCATCATTAATACCATTATTAATATCTGTATCTGTATATACAGTTACCTACATTTACATTTTAACTATATGAAATTAAACCATTCAGGATATTCTGTAATCTGCTTTTGGAGAAAATCAGCCTCTACCTTTTCATGTCAATAACATTTTTTTTTCTGTCTAAAATATAGTCCACTCATCCAAAATACATGTATGAAGACACACATGGGTGTCAACCTACTTTATATACAAACAGAGATATGAGAAATTGTGGTATATTTGTGTAATAAGAATTGTAATGCAAAAAACCAACAAAGTACACGTATAAAAGCATGAATTGGCATGAACATACTTTATTTACAAAGATATGAAAAATTGTGCTCTGTATGTGTAATAAGAATTGTAATGCATTCTGCTGTCATGTATTTAAAAAAATAAAATCAATTAAAAAAAAAAAGAAAAAAAATATAGTCCACATTCAGGTTTCCCTAAGTATCCCAAAATGTGCTTTAAATCATCCAAATTAGACTCCAGTTGGAAACATGAACATCTCATTTGTTATATCTACAAGTCTCTTTTAATCTAATACAGATATGGTAATTTTTATTAGAATCGTTAGATTTATATAAATATAAATAATTTTGTAAAGGCCCATGTAAAGAAAATTTTTCTTCAAATAATCACACTATTTTTAAGAAGTTACCTGACTTCTGGCATTTTAGGAGAACTACTGATTTAAGGAAAGTTAAATTAAGAAGCATAATCTCTAGAAAATAATTATAATATTCTTCCAGGGAAGGTTACATACAACTTCTCCATTTTTTTCCCTTAGGGACAAACATGTTTGAGAGAGAAGCCAATAAAAACTTTAAATTTCCTCACTTATTTTAAAGATATCAATGAAGTTATCAAGATTTTCAAATGAGTCATAGAGAATAAGTTAAAGAATGAATGATTTCAAGTGGTTATATATTTAACATATGGAACACTGAGCAAACTTTAAAAAGCTCTTTAAAAACAACGCATTGATCTAGGTGAGTTTCTTTTCTACAGGTTATTAAAAAAAAGAATCATGGAGGGGCTGGGGTTGTAGTTCAGTGGTAGAGTGCTTGCCTCACATGTGTGAGGCACAGGGTTCAATCCTCAGCACCACAGAAAAATAAATAAATAAAATAAAAAGAATCATGGAAAGGGGCAAAGTACTTTTACAATCTAATAATTCATGAAGAGATAAAGGCAAACAGTGACTGATTGATGCCGGAAAAGGAAAGGCTTTAGTGACAAAAATTTTACTGACTTCCATGGTGATGAAGTCCCCAGAAAGGAGAAACAGAATGCCTTCTTACCAAGCCAGCTACTTCCTAATCCTTTCTCCAGTAGCAATTATTTCTAATATCTGATGTTGAAATATTCTTAATATTCTTAAATTATTTTGTCTTATGTTCCTTATCTGCCTTAGTATACTGCCTATTTAATTATGTGATTGAGTTAGAGGTTCTGAGAGTGGYTTCAGGACATAGATAAATTCCTTGAAGGGAGTGTTTTGTGTGTGTTTCTCTAGTAAGTCATTAACTGTCAGTGGATTCTCAATGGGGTCTATAAAATTAAAAACCATTAAAACTGACAGGTAGCTRGGTCAGCAGTTTCTCTGGCATATGCTATTTGACTGAAGTATAAAACACAGCCAACTTTCAATTACAATGAATAAAAGACACTTATTAAATAAAACAATCTAATTATCTTTGCAATCTGGTCAGCAATGAATTCTCTGAAAGTGTTTTTTAAATTGCAAATTGTGACCCAGTAGGGGGTTGTGTCGAGCATTTGGGGAAAAAAAAAAGGCAATAAGCTAGGATAGAACAGAAATATCAGAGAGTACACTGTATACAGTAAAGGTATTGTTTTATAAAATGCTACTTCAATTTTATATTTATGTGTGATATAATCTAGGTCATGATGTAAAACACATTTCTTACTCTGGGTAACAGCCAACAAAAATTAAGAAYTGTTGCTCTTATACTTGCTTTTTCTGTTTTGTCTCAAACCTTTATATGCCATTTCTATGGAAGCTTGGAATAAAAAAGGTTAAAATGATAAAAATAATAATGATTATATGATAATCAATATATACTAAGTATTCACTGTGTGTCAGAAACTATGTGAAATTTATAATCTCAATCTGCAAAACCAAATGAATATTATCAATTTTTCTCTATTTTTTTAAGAAAAGAATACAGATTTAAAGAAGTATATACCTTAATTTATACTTTAATTTATATCTAGGTCTGATTCAAAAGCCCATGCTTACCACATCAACTTCAGGCAGTAGGTCTTCTAGAAAATCTAAAAAGCAGATGATTCACTTAATGATAAAAATAAATTGAATATTATAATTTTAGATGGGTTTGAAGCCTTGGTTCTATGATGCTATACTATTCTTTATACTTACTTGTTTTGGTTTAAATTGCTATGAAATATTCTATAAAACTAGCTAATTTAAAAAAAAATATTTTTTAGTTGTTGGACCTTTATTTTATTTATTTATATGTGGTGCTGAGAATCAAACCCGTGCCTTGCCCATACGAGGCAAGCACTCTTCCACTGAGCCACAACTCCAGCCCCAAAACTAGTTATTTTTTAAATAAAAAAAGTTTATATGCAGACATGAGACTGAAGTATTTTATCAATCTCCAAATTTAAAGACTTACATTATATAAAATTATAAGCATTAGAGTACCCTATAATTAAAGCTACTTATTTTTATGTGTTTTTTGTGAGAATTTGAACCTTATAAGAAACACATAAAATTACTACCTCTCAGATAGTAAGTGTTCAATAAATATCTAGCTTTTATTTTATCATATAAAAAGACAGGGAAACCTACACAGTTTTTTGCTTAAAATTTCCCCTACTTTACAGTTTGCCCTTAGGAACTCCCCCCAAATTGCTAGTTCATGTGTTATACAAAAAAGGAATTTAAAGTGTTTTTATAGCCACATCTGTATGTGAAAAATCATTTACAAATGATTTATCCAGCAGCTTGATTTCAAGGTTCATAAGGCCCAATGCCTAGCAGCCCAAGCAGATAACCTGAATGGGAGGTGGAAGGGCAAGAGTAGTAGGCATGTGTGTTGTGTGCATGAAGGACAGTGGGGTACACTATCTAAAAGAAATCAGACATTACGATTCAGTGAGAGAAGATTTTATGCTATGCAGGAATATATTAGGGTCTGTTGTCAGATTTTCAAGGAAAGTCAGAAATCTGGATGTCTGGGTAAAATTTCCTGATTTTTACATATTGGCACAAATTAAAATAACAAAAACAAAAACCACTTTGTGAGCCAAACAAAACAAGTCTACCAGGTAAATACAGCCTTAAGCTGACAGTTTCCAAATTTGCTTTACTTTTAGGCCATCACTTCAGGTACATAAGATGACTGATACAATCTAGGTGAGACTATTACCAACTACAAGCTTCCAAAGGGTGGCCAGTGGGGTGGGGAGAAGAATCTCAGAATACATATACTTTGTAAGTATAACTCCTTGTTATCTTAGAAGCTTTGACACAAGGATGCCAGCTGAGAAAAATTTCCACAGGAAGTTCTGAGAGACAAGTCTATGTGGATAGGGAAATGATTTAAAGTGAAGGATAAATAATCATAAATGCATAAGGAAAAGTGAGTATGTTTATGAAATTTCAGGAGAAGATTTCCTTTCAGGATTAAAGAAGCAAAAGAAAATCTTCCTAGATAGATGATAAAGTTATCTTTATTATAGAAGAAAATGCTTGCATATAATTAACTTTTTTGATATAATTCTGTTGTTTCATAACTCCTTATACTTTTAGAGGGGCATGGCATGGAGATGAACTTCTCAAATTAGGCCATAAAGGTAAAAATTTTTAAAGCAATTTTTTTTTTTTTTAGTTGTAGATAGACACAGTATCTTTATTTTTGTTGGTTTATTTTTATGTGGTACTGAGGATCAAACCCAGGACCTCACACGTACGAGGCAAGTGCTCTACCACTGAGCAACAACCCTAGCCCTAAAGTTAAAAATTTTTATATAAGCAAAATTACCTTTGCAAATTCTTTAAATCACCTTTAAATTCTTTTAGTATATACCACACCAGCTCTTGATAAATTGAAGACAACTTACTTCATCGTTAGAATAAGTAAAGTTTCCTCAGTTATGCATGATTAACGCACAGTTATAATTCTCAACTGTTATCCCCGCTGGCCGGGCAGATTAAATGACTGTAAAGTGTGGTTTTATAGAGAAAGAAAAATAACTTGTTACCTCTGTTAACTACTTTAAAAATATACTGGTTAAAATATCTAGATAAGAAAGTGGTTATACTCTGGGGACAGGAATTAAAAAAAATTGGGAAAAAAATAGATTTGTTACAAAATGTTAATTTGAGTAACCAGGCAGGGAGGATAGATTTGAAAATTAATTGTGTCAGTTCATTCTAAATAAACATTGTTTGGTAACATAAATCGACTCTCAGAAGTTAAAAAAAAAAAAAAAAAAAGATCTTTTTATTTTTTTTTTAAAAGAGAGAGTGAGAGAGAGAGGGGTGGTGCTGAGGATCGAACCCGGGGCGCACGCATCCCAGGAGAGCGCACTACTGCTTGAGCCACATCCCCAGCCCCCCAAAAAAGATCTTGTCATCAAATGGCTACCAAGCCAAACTAAACTTTGCAAAGTATGTGGTTCCGTATGAGTCATGACTTACCCTTATGGTTTTGTAGTGGTATAGGAATCGGGCTCCTGACACTTGAGCTTGTGGATTAGACTGAAGGCCTACATATGCCCACAACACCTGGATCTCCAAGGAAACAGGTATGAAACAGCAGGAAGTACAGTTCATAATCTGTGGAGGGTAAAGAAGCAAATGCCTGAATGACCTGATGGCTACCTAGTCAGTCACCATTCATTAAGTAGCCACTGTTTCTTTTTAAAAATATTTTCTTAGTTGTTGATGGACCTTTATTTAACTTATTTATATGTGGTGCTGAGAATCAAACCGGGTGCTTAACATAAATAGGCAAGTGCTCTACTACTAGGCTACAACCCCAGCCCCAAGTAGTCACTATTTCTTAAGCATTATAAATAATACAGAAAACAGTATGGCTTAGAGGAACTACAAAAAAGTTCATCATAGACAATAATATTGTTCTTGATCTTAAAAAATTATCTTTGAAAATGGAAATAACTAAGATATTAATAAAATGTGCAATGGTTAGAAGAAAGCCATTTCTGGCTGGGGATGGCTTTGTGGAACCAAGATGAGTAACATGCAACCAGGAGAAATAGACAAATTTGGGTAGAAAGGGGGCATATAAAAAGGTTTGTTCAACTACACAGAACATTCTTCAGGATAGACCATGTGTTAGGACACAAAATAAGTCTCTACAAATTAAAAATATATCAAAATCATATCATGTATCTTCTCTGACTACAATGGAATAAACCTAGAAATCAACAAGAGGAACTTTAGAAACTGTATTATTAGAAGATACATGTATCAACATGCTCTTGAACAAAAAAGGAACCACTGAAGAAATTAAAGGGGAATTTAAAAATTTATTGAAAAAAATGAAGATGGAAATAAAAAAAAAACAGAATTTATGGGATAGAGTAAAAGCAGTGCTAAGAGGAAACTTTATAGCAATAAGTGTCTACAAAAAAAAAAGTAGAAATATTTTAAAAAACAATTTCATGATACAACTCAAGGAGCTAGAAATATAATAACAAACCAAACCCCAAATTACTAGAAGGAAAGATAAAACAAAGATCAGAAAAGAAATTTAAAAAATATAGACCAAAAAAAAAATCCCAATATGAATGATCAACAAAATGAAAAGTTGTTTTTTTGATTGAAAAGATTAAAAAAAAAAACTTGGTAAGGCTTTCATTAGGCTAACCAAAAGAGAGTGGGGGGAAGGAGGGAGGGAGGTAAGGAAGGAGGGAGGTAGGGAGGTAGAGAGAGGGAGAGGGAGAGGGAGAGGGAGAGGGAGGGAGGGAGGGAGGGAGAGAGAGAGAGAGAGAGAGAGGCCAAATAAATAGAATTAAAGACAAAAAAGAAAACAAGTTACAACTTGGGGGATTGGGGTTGTGGCTCAGTGGTAGAGGGCTTGCTTAGCATGTGTGAGGCACTAGGTTTGAGTCTCAGCACCACATATAAATAAATAAAATAAAGGTCCATTGACAACTAAAAAAAAAAAATTAAAAAAAAATTACAAAAACTGATACAAAAGATCATCATTAGGGACTATTATGAACAACTATACACCAACAAATTGGAAAGCCTAAAAGAAATGGATATACTTCTGGACACATATAACCAACCAAAATTGAACCACAATGATACAGAAAACATGAACAGGCCAACAATGAAGAAAGAGATTGAATCAGTAATTAATATGTCTCCTAATAAAGACATGACCTTACTCCTGAATTCTATCAATGTTTTAAAGGAGAACTCACATTAATTCTTTTTAAATTTTTTGAAATTCTTTTTAAATTTCAAAAAATTGAAGGGAAGGGAACCCTTCTAAACTCACCCAATATTACCCTAATGTCAAAACCAGAAAACACACACACACACACAAAATAATAAAAGAAAATCATAGACAAACATCCCTGGTAAACATAGATGCAAAAATTCTAAAAAAAAAAAAAGTTATTAGTAAACTGAACCCAACAGCAAATCAAAAGGACTATATCCATGATTAAATGGGATTTATCCTAGAGAGGCAAGGATGGTTCAATATATGAAAGATAATCAATGTAAAATATCACATCAACATGTATGAAGAAATTAAGGGAGAATTTAAGACAAAATTAAGGGGGAATTTAAGACAAAACACATATGATCATCTTGATAGATGCAGAAAAAAATTTGATAAAATTCAACACTCTATTATGATAAAAACTCTCAATGAATTARATGTAGATGGAAAGAACCTCAACATGATAAATGCTATATTTGACAAACCATAGCCAACATCATGGTGTACAGGAAAAAGTCAAAAGCATTTTCTCTAAATCTGGATTAAAACAAGGTTGTCTACTTTTACTACTGTTATTCAATATAGTACCGAAAGTGTTAGCCAGAATAATTTGAAACAAACACAAAAAAGGACTATATATAAGGGGTCTGGGGTTATGGCTCAGTGGTAGAGCACTTGCCTAGCATGTGTGAAGCACTGGGTTTGATCCCCAGAACCACATAAAAATAAACAAATAAAATAAAGGTATGTGTCCATCTAGAATAATTAAAAAGAACTACATATAAGAATAGAGAAAGTAAAATTATCCTTGTTTGCAGACACATGAGTTTGTAAATAGAAAACCTAACGACTCCAGCAAAAGACTGTTAGAACTGGTAAACAAATTCAGTAAAGTTGCAATATACAAAATATTCAAAATCAACAAAGAAAATATTTATATGTCAATAACAAACTTGCTGAGATGAAGTCAAGAAAACAATCCCATTCATAGTTTCTACAAAAAAGTTAAAGACCTAGGGATAAATTCAACCAAGGAAGCAAATGACTTTTACAATAAAAACTATAAAACATTCATGAAGGAAATTACAAATGACTCACAAAAATGAAAAGACTTCCCACATTCATAGATTGGAAAAATTAATGCTGTTAAAATGTTCATGTAATTGAAAGTGATTTGCAGATTTGATGTAGTCTCTATCAAAATACCAAAGGGCCAGGACAGGTAGTGCATACCTGAAATCCTAGCAACTAGGGTGGCTGAGGCATGAGGATTGCAAGTTCAAGGGTAGCCTCAGCAACCTAGTGAGGTCTTAAAGCAACTTAGGGAGAGACCCTGTCTCAAAATAAAAAATGGGCTGAGGTAAAGTGGTAAAGTGCTCTGGGTCTAATCCCTAGTACCAAAAAAAAAAAAAAAAAAAAGACAGAAAACAAAACAACAACCAAACTCCCACAAAAACAAAAGCCAAACAAAAATAGTGAGGTTCTTCACAGAGATTAAAAAAAAAAAAAATCCCAAAATTACTATGGAGTACAAAACACCCCAAATAGACAAAGAAACTTGAACAAAAAGAACAAAGCTGGAAGTGTCACCGCACCTAATTTCAAGATATACTACAGGGTTATGGTAAGCAAGACTAGTGTGGTACTAGTATAAAAACTGACACATAGATAAATAGAAGAGAATAGAGCATCAGAGATAAATCCATCTTTCTACAGTCTTCAAAATTTTTTCTAAGTAAAGTAAATAAGTAAATAAGTTAGGTGTAAACCTAACTTGAAATAATGACTTCAAATAAGCATGCTTTCTTACATTCTTCCTGAATGACAAACACATTATCTGTAGAARCAAGGATGATTTTTAACCCTACTTTCCATAATGTATAAATTTGGAAAACAAATCACTATCAGAAAATGTATTTCTCCTTACTGAAACACTGCAATTCTTTCTGAGGATCCTGGTCCACCCTCCTTTCTGAGCTGGGTCAGCATTACCAAAGATGGCAACATGCTCTGGTGTAGGCCTTCCATGCAGGGTCTGACAAATCTCCTGCTGCAGGCGGCTGCAATCTGTATCCATCAGCCTGTAATTAAACATGATGGAGGCCAATGCTAACATATAACCATATTAGTATATGAATCCAAACATTAGAAATAATATTATGAAATAGATTAGAGGAAATAATACTTGGTAGGCATTAAGAATTCTTATCAGAAAAAAATACAATATTATTTAATTTAAAGACTATTTCTAACCGCATTCTTCTGAACTGTCACTTAAAGTATTAATAAGTTACCACAACAACATATTCCCTACAAGCAGAGACAAAATTGTGGGAAATGTTACAGAAGCAAAGTATCACCTGAACTTGCATCCAGATATTRCATTCACTCCAAACTGTACTTCATATCTCTTAATAGAGCAAGTTCCATATCCCTGGCTTTGCAAGAGGGTCATCTGAGGTGAAAAAGTTATGGTCAAGGAGAGCATAACAGAAAATAGAAATTGATAGAGGCAGGATTGGAAAATGTATGCTTCCATTATTCCCATAATAATATTTTAATTTTATTACTATTAGGACATAAGTTACAAATTTGTGCTTTTTTTCCTGTAGTAATTAAAAACCACATAATTATTCTTTTTCCAAAAATAGTTAACCATATTATTGGTATATATGTATCTAATTAAAATGAGCAAAAACTAATGCAATTCTCATCTTCAGACAGCCTAACAGAAATTTAAAAACTTTTGGAACCACTGGCATTTGGGAACACAGTGTATTAATCATTGAGTAAAAAAGATCCTGAATACTTAAAATTGAAGGAACCTTGAGAATTTGAAAATCCAAAAGATCAGTGGCTGCAGCGTTTCTCTTTAAGCTGCAACAGACACCCAACTCSAAAAAGGATACTGAGTGACTTGTATCACCAGTTCGAACCAAGAGTGGCTTCCCAACAATATAGCCTGGATTCCCACTTCTAGGACCAGTAAGAGAAGTAGACATGCTCTGTTGAAAGGCCTGCAGGAGGAGTGAAGAAAAGTCACTTATTGTGAAAAGCATGCTTTTCTACCTTCCACTGCCTAGCTTCAAATCTTTCCTTAAGGTAATGCAATAAATGAGCTGCACTGAACAATCTGGCTTCCTTCCACAGTATAGTATTTTGCAATTTATATTCTAGCTTCTCCTTTATTTATTTTTCACTAAAATAAATGGAGTGATCCAAATATTGAAATTTACTATAAATTAATTTTACCAAGGATTACAACCAAAGACCTACCAAGGTTTCCTTAACTATATTTCTTAAAAATTACTATTATCATCATTATTACTTTTGGGCACTGGGAATTAAACCAAGGGGTGCTTAATCACTGAGCAATCTCCCCAGCTCTTTTTATTTTTTACTTTGAAACAAGGTCTCCCTAAATTGCTTAGGGCCTCGTTAGGTTGCCGAGGCTGGCTTTGAACTTGCCATGCTCATACCTTAGCCTCCCAAGCCATTAGGATTAGAGGTGTGCACATTGCACCTGGCACCATTATTGTTTAGGGACTTAATTATCCTATCTGTACTCAGAGGAATTTAAATGTGATTTTAAAATACATTTCAATGAACTACAGACRTTCCAGGGACGAACTGTGAGAGACACAGGACTTGGTTGTCATAGGGTGAAGAACTCTGCCAAGTTCAAAGACAGGAGAGAAGTAGAAGAAAGCCAAAAGACTAGAAACTTAGCCAGGTGTAGTGGCGCACACCTATAATCCCAGCGGCTTGGGATCAGGGGTTCAAAGCCAGCTCCAGCAATTTGGAGAGGCCCTAAACAACTCAGTAAGACCCTGTCTCTGAATACAATATAAAAAAGGGTTAGGGATGTGGCTCAGTGGTTAAGTGCCCCTAGGTTCAATCCTCAGTACCAAAAAAAAAAAGACTAGAAACTTAAATTTAATGGAAATAAAATGATGAAATGTTCAGCAATACAAGAAAAGCTAGTTAAAAGAATTTCTGTGGGATGCTGAGTTCATGATTCAAAATGACTATTTAAAACAGAGTTTTGACCTAAGTACTTCTTTGCTGTGTTTCAGACAGAGAATCAGAGAAAATGTTAATAAATATGTTGAATACCATCTCCTCTACTTAAATTAAGAAATATGTAATCTCAAGGCCTCAATTAACAGATTGAACTAGGTTTTCTGATCCTTATTCTATTAAAGATGGATTATAGAAGCAGAGGATTATTTCTAACCTGATAATTYTACCCCCCACAGTCCTCTATAGAGAAGGGCTCTAACCCTGAAGTGAATGATGAATTCTTGCTGTAAGGAAACATCTGGCTCAATGGTCAGGTTGGTTTGTCCAAAACTGACAGAAACTTTCTGGATTCCAAAGGTCCCATTGGTTTCTATATCATAGATGACCTGGAATGTAAAAGAATCAATTAATAAAATAGTTATTGGGCTGATTATGTTTGGGATAGAAGATTTTCTATGGATAATCAAACTGAATAAGTGACTGAAAAAGTAATCTTAAACATGTCAAAAACAAATACCATGAAAAAATAAGAGGGTTTTATTAGTTACATTTGTATATAAAGAGAGACTGAATAGAACTTTTTGAAAGAGTTCATGGAAAGGGTGAGTTTAAGAAAAATAAGTTTTGATTTGGGCCAAGAACTAGAAACAGAGGCAGAGGTGAGTACTGAACAAAAACTGAGTTACTTGATTTCCACAATGTCTGACAATAAATAAGAATATAGTAGGAAGCCAGGCACAGTAGCTGGTGTCTGCAATCACAGCAACTCAGGGAGGATCCTGAGTTCATGTCCAATCTAGAAAATATAGCAAGACTCCAMTATGTCAAAATACATTCTACTGTCATGTATATCTAAAAAGAACAAATAAAAAAAATTTTAAAGACAGCTGGGAATAAAAGTCTCAAGTAATTAAAGGTAACCATAAATTTCTGAGCACATTCTTCATAATGATCCTGTAAGATAATTATTACTTCTTTAGGTTAGAGTCATTAGAAGAGAGAATAGAGTAACAGAAACTGATTAATCTATTTCAGACTTTCAGATGACTCTACCTGTGTCAACAGAAGAAAATGTGATCAGGCAGTAAAAGCCAGTAACAGACTGCACCTGGGCAAAGGAAGAGTAGTCAGAAATAATTTCAGTGTTGTGAACCTGAAATACTGGAGGATTGTGGCAATGGACATGACTGAATAATGGTAGGGAGGAAGCCATATGCTCATCTCTTAAAATTCAGGCAGGGTCAGTCTAGCAATTAATCCAAGATGAGGCACCTCTGGCAATGCTGGTCAACATGCATCATCATGCATCATCATGTTTCCCAGCATCCTTACCTGGGAAACAGCATTCTGACAAGTGTTTCCAACCAACAGCGGAGGACTGGCCTGTGAGGCAAGTGTTACAGGAACCTGGAACTAGCAAGAGAAAGAGCAAAAGCAACTAAAATAGAAAGCTCCATTTTTTTTCCTTCTAGCTACCTATGATGCTAAAATGAGAGTTTCCCATCCCTTTGACTATTCCTTTTCTTTCTCCTTCTACTGCCAGCTTATAACTTAAGTTTAAGTCACTCTAAATCAGCACATTTCAAAAAAAATATTTCCAAAACACTAATTTTATGAGATATAAAATAAGAATAAAAGTTTTAGAAATACTCTATCAGATACTCCCTCAGAGATTAATTGAGGCCCTCTTACCTGTTAAAAAAAACTCTAAAAAGCCCATCCCAAGCCCATGTGATTGTGATACATCAAGGTTACATTTTCTTCTGCCATTATAATCTTGACTGAAATTGCCTTATATGTAAAGGAGCCAAATATAATTTTTCCTTTTTCATGTTGAATGGCATCATACCTTCATATTCTGCAGATCAGTCAAACCTGTTGGAATCTATAAAGTAAACAGTGAAATCAAAAGTGTGCACATACAGACCTTGTAGTTTCATATTACCACCAACAGACTTTGTTTGAGGGGTTGGGGAGACCAAAATATTAGAATGATTTGCTTACTCTCTTCCACTTGACTCTTACACTAAAATGTCAGGGAACAGAGCTAGATGGGAGGTAGGGTAGACTACAATACTTACCTACCCTGACAGAGCTCTATTGAATAGCAAGAGGTTTAGTGAAAACCTCCTCTTATCCTCTCAAGCGAATCCCACTAGCCAGGAGGGTGACAATGTTTTATTATGGACGTATATCCCTATTTCCTTTCATATTTCTTCAAATGATGGTGACAAGAGTGCAGAGAGAAGGACACCCACCTTCAAGACTGTGAAGTTATAGTAAGAGGCAGCATCCAGTGCTGGATCCAATGTACAGCTATTTGTCAGGTTTTTGAAGAAACGAGTACAGGTTGTACTTTTACTTTCTAGGAAACCTTAGAACACAAAGAATTAAGGCAATGGAAAATGATCAAACCTATTTTAAATTGAGCCAATAAGGCTGGTATTTCTACCCTAGACTCACCTGCAGGATTTCTGTCAGCACAGAGTTCCCCAGTTCCCACTCCTGCAGGCTGCCTCAGCAAACTTGTTACAGACCACTTGGGGAAGTAAGTTAGAATGGGGTCCCCAGCCTGAATAAAAATATGGGAGACATTTATTCACAGTGAAATTGAATTGAATTATAGCAGAAAAGAAAAAGTAGAAACAAAAGTTAATTCAGTGGCTTGTTTATATTTACATGATTGGCACTGTCCTTCAAAAAAGTCAACAATGGTTTACTTGTTGCAGGGAGGTATCACAAAGATACCTTGCCAATAGTCTTATGATGAGAGGAAATAAAAGACCAAACAATTCCATCCCTATCCCCAGACTCACTCTGTAAAAAAGTGGTGGCAACTGAGTTTGCAATGCTRAAGGGAAAGATTCGCCTCCAAACTCTACAGCCAGGGCCTGGAAGTTGGTTGCGTTGACCTTTTGGAGCTTCTGGGAATAGTTTAATTTTGCTACAATGTTTTTAAAAAGAAAAGAAGTTTAGTTAAAATAAAAACAAATATTTTAAAATATATGGCATGCCAGATAACTAATTTTTTTCTTAATATTTATTTTTTAGTTGTAGTTGGACATAATACCTTTATTTTACTTATTAATTTTTATGTGGTACTAAGGATTGAACCTAGGGCCTTGCCCATGCTAGGCAAGTGCTCTACTGCTGAGCCATAACCCCAGCCCCCAAATAACTAATTTTTAAAAATATTTTTACTGAAGTATAATATGCATACATTTATGTGTATAAATGCACTAAAGTATAAACTCAAAAGAATTTTTACCAATTCATATACTGGTATTACTACCACCCAGATCAAGTTATAGAACATTTTTTTAGAAGGTTCCAAATCAATCCTCCACCTTCAGAGATACTAATAATTCAAATTTCTATTACCTCATAACTTATTTGTAACCTGTAATTGGATTACTGTTTTCATATTAAGATCTAAGTTAAGAATATGGTCAATAAATGTCAATTCCAAGTCTTTAAACTCCAAGAATGTGCATGATTAGCAACTTGTGACAAAAAAGGAAAGCTCAATAATGCTCCTTATTTGGTCTGTTTCAGATGAGTGAAGCAACAAAGTAGTACTGTTTCCATAGGAACATGGCAAACTCAGAGGCAATATCTGATCTTTTCTCCCCATTCTGTTTCCTTGAAACTTCAACTGACTAGTTCTAATGAAAATGTTTCCACGTCTCAAGCATATCGATTTGTTGGTTTTATTCCTTTCACCTTATATTTCCTACATTCAAGATTTCAGATACTCTAAAAAGGTATTTTCTGCAACAATGATATAATTTCTATTATAGCTATGTATAAACTTATCTAAGCTTCTGCAGCCATCTCTTTACAGCACTTCAGAACCAGGACAGAGATGTAGGGAAAAGGCCCTGGTGCTGTTCTCTGTTCAGAGGGCAGCAGATGATAGATGATTACCACTTCTGTTAACTTGAGAAAAGAACATAGCAAAAACATGTTCAAGTTTGTTTCTTCATATAAATATGGTCATTTGAACAGAATCAAAAAGGTAACAAGAACAGAGTCACTGAAAGCTAATAAGGATTCCACATTAAATAAGTTTGACCTTTATCCTCTGCAATCACAACATCTCAGTTATTTGAATTTTCAGCTTTCCGATACAGCATGAAATAAACATAGCTCTTAATTCCAGGGACTACTGATACTATATACATTTCCAGGATTCTTACTATTCAGAGTGAGTTGCATGATTACTGTCACCTGGGAGTTTGTCAGAAATGCAGACTCTCAGGCATTCAAACCTAGAGTCAGAATCTGCATACTGACAAGATCTGCAGGTGATGCATATGCATATTAGAATTTGAAAAGCCCTGTTCTGAAAYAGGTGACTAACATGCCACTGGTCTGGAGACCACCTTCCACCTCTGATCAGACCAGAAATCTTCCAGGGCCTGAAGCCTCCAAACTCTGAAGCTTCAAGAAGCTGTTTATCATTTCCTTCAGAACTCACGCCCTGAAAACCACATAGAAGAAGTATTTACCTCATATAAAATAGTTATTTCTATCCTTGTAAATAAAAGATAAAATAACAAGAAAAACTAAGAAAGAAGATGAGCTGAGATGGTAAATAACCATCTCGCTATTTTTTTCATGGCTTAAATCAGTAAGAGAAAAAGTAACATTTTCTCTCTAACTTCAGTGTACAGATATTGGCAGAGGGATGATAAACAAGGATAATGCAAACAAGAAACATAGGCTATAGAGGATACATAAAGATTTTGCTAAAAAGGTCTGCCTCCATACATGATATACTATACCTAAGAGAGTTTAAAGGTACAATTTCAAATGAGGAAGGAAGCCTATACACCATCTGACCCAATCTCATTAGGAAATCTGGACACTCAGAGGTAAATGAGCTGCAAAGGGTCACACAGCCAGCAGTCAGAGCCAGAGTATACCAGAGTATCGCCTTATTCCTGGTCAGGGGTTTTCCCCACTTTGTCATGCTACACAGACTTGGACCAAGAGCATCCTTTATTGATCATTATCAGAAGATTCAGACTGTAGGCAAATAATAATGTGGTTCATACTTTCCAGGTTCTGACATGATATTTATATAAATTGACAGCAAACAAAAAACTTCTCTGAGTTCCAAGGGAATGACTTTATGAGTGCTTCAGGACTTTGGAACATGGGATCACTTCCAACTGCAATGAGCAAAAAAAGATTCTTGCAAGGAGTAGGGATTTTAAAATGCAAAGAAAAAGGGGAATACTTGAGTCAAGGAGAAAAGTAAACAAACTTGGGGAGAATGCAAGGCATATCTTGAGGACATTAAGTAGATGAGTTTGGCCAAAACAGAGGATCAAAGAGAGTGATGGAGAAAATCCTGGAAAGGAGAGTTGGCTTAACTATTAGAAAACCACACTGTCAGGTTAAAGAAATTGGAYATTATTCTCTAGGTAATGGAAAGTCATTGGAGTTTTTTGAATAAAGAAACATCATAATGTAGTATTATGGAACTAATAATCTAGCAAAGTGATTCTCTATGGCTGTGTAAGTTTGCTAGGTGCATATATGTGAAGAAGGTAGGCAAATAATGAAGACCAAGAGAAGCTTTTTCCTTTTTCATACTAAACATGAATCCATTTCCCAGTCTCATTCAGGGAAAGTACATTGATATAATTATCCCCTATTACTATTGGAAGTAGCCATATTTTTTCAAGCTTTGTTGGTGAAAGAAAGTTCAGAACCTCTGGTACAGAAGCTATATGTAGGATGCTATGGGAGACAGAAGGAGAGAGTAAAAGTAGGGAGCACCAGTTGGATGCTATGGCAATAGTCCTAAAATATGATCATAAGGCTGGAGTTAGAAGGCAGCAGAAAGTTTAGAAAGGACAACYTAAGTGGCCATAGGTCTCCTGATAACTGCTTTCAAATCCAAGTACTCTCAAACCAAAAACTTGTTATTTTCTGAGACAAGTATAGTTTTGGGAATTTCTTTTCTAAAATTCAGATAAAATCAGGATGAGCTGACTATAGTTTCAAATCTTTTAGAAATGATAAAACCATCACTAAAAAGTTTTTAAGACCATTAAAAAACCCCAATGATACCACTTTGCATCTTTATTTATTGCACTCTACAGTTATATAGCACTTTCACATCCATTAACAGTGATATAAATTTTTCACCTTATAGTTGAAGAAACAAACTTAGAAGTAAGGGATTTGTTCAAGTTTGTGCAAGTGGTAAGAAAATAGCAGTTATTAGTTTCTATCTAATGCTCTTTCCCCCACATTGCTGCTTCATGAAATAAAAACAGGGTTGGCAAAGACTCATTAAAAACATTCATGCAAGTATTATTCAGTGCTTATGATATATCAGAATCTGGGAATTGAGTGAGTGATTTGGTGGAGATTGAGTAAGTGGGGGGATATAGTCTATCTGTGATTATATGAGCTACAAGCCTTAAAATTAAATTCATTGAAATTAAAGTTCCACATGCATTATCTGATCCATAGTCAATAGTGCTTAAGAAGTTTCAAATATTCTCTAAAAAGAGAGGGGGGCAGAGGAATGGGTAGAAGGAGAGGGAAAGTGATAGAGATTCAAAGCATAAAAATAATAGTTTAAAAAAGAAATGGGAAAGCCAAAAACATAGTCACTTCTCAAAAAATGTTAGGTAATAAGAACAGCCAACATGTTTTTACTCACAGTTGTTCACGAGGACACAAAACTGTCTAATTCCATTTGAATYGGTAAAAACTCTTGAAGGAAACGGGGAATTACTCCTGAAGATAAGAGAATTATCTACACACACCCAGCTTGAAGACCTGTGAGGAAAGAGGATGAGGATATTTAGGAGGGGAGAGGCAGGTGTAAAGAAGAGTGCCCTCAGATACTTTGGCACCTCAGGTGCCAAAGAGAGAATCCTTGGGCTACCCCAGTGCAACACCAAAGTCCTCCTAGTCTTAGCTGTTCTAGAGAGTTAGAAAAGGAAGGACACTCCCGGAAAAAAAACAAGGTAACATTCTAGGAGTGCAAATAGGGTTAGGAGGCACGAAGTCTAACTCTTTCCACTTGCAAATATTACCCAATCGAGGGCTCAATCCCCTTTAGGATTCACCTTACGCTGCCTGGAAGGCAGAAGGAGAAAACGGTCCTCGGATGGAGAAGATAGCAGTCCCTGTCGCAGCAGCAATTTAGATCGCAGGCACCAGGAGTCAAGTCACAGATACAGATCGGTAAGACTATCAAAGTGCAACAAAAAGAGAGAAAGTGGCATAAGGATGCCCAAACTCGTCCAGGTGCTAAACCTCCGCTCCCCCCGGCCCCTCGTTTCCTACAGCGCTTTCTGCTTTGTGGCAATTGTGTTCGTAGAATTTTAGATCMGATAAGTCAATAGTTTCCACCCCATAATTCTTCCCCTCACCTGGGAAGAGGTCCATGGACCTATTCCCAGGCATCGATGGGGTCACAGGAGTAGGGCCCACGGTAAAAATCCCAGGCACGTCCTGGGGAGTTGCAGTCTCCACCGAAGAGGATTGGGGGGTCCCGCCCTGCGTCACCGGCCCCAGGACTGCAGGTGTGGGTACTGCCCCCGTTGGGAAAAAAGAGGGCTGATGCTGGGCGCCCTCAGGGAGCATCAGGACGAACACAGGCAGCATCAAGAGCTGCAGGGTACACATGGGTCGGTCGAGGCGTTGGATAGTCTAACTCAGGCCTCCACGGTCTTCAGACGCGAAGCTGAATGGGCGGAGTCACACAGCGTCCTACGTAATCCGTAAGCGACCGGTCATTGGCTAATGGCGATCGTGGGGAGTTCTTCAGCCAATAGGAGACAGGGTTGTTACGGCTCTTTCAGCATCCTTCAGTCTGCGCCCTCCTCCTTTGGCCCTGCTGGGCGCTGCTTCCGTCGCCTGGCAACCGCCAGGGGCGAAGGAACTCTTTGCAGGTTCTCTCCGCTAGATGACAGCAGAAGTCCAGCAGACATATCGCAGAGCCGGGTTCTCTGCGGACTTGCAGTACTGGAAGAGGGAGCCCTTCCTGGGCAGAGAGAAATCTGCCCAGAAGAAGGAACTAGAATCGCATATCTTTTCCACCCCGGATTCCTACGGTGAGAAACCCTTTTATGGCAGGACCGGAAGGGAATTACACTGAAAATCATACACCTACCCCCTACCCCCTTTTGTGAATCTTCTATAAATATAGTATTGAGGGAGAAACATATTAGAAATAATGCTCATTCAGCTCCTTAAATTTTAACCTTGAGAATAGTTTTTAAACTTCAAAAATTGCATCATGTTATTAAAAGTGAACTGCATTTTTGTTGCTAGAAAAGTGGTTCCAGAAGGGAGATTAGGAATAAGAAAACAGAATAGTGGAAAATGTGAGGAGTAGGGAGAGAAAGAGTTAAAAATGGAGAAATAGGTTTTCTAGAGGATGAGAAAATAAGATGGAATGGAATGAGAATAGACATGGAGAAAAAAACTTTTTTTTTTTTGCCATTATCAATACCACTTTTTGTGACACTTTTTAGAATGTTTTTGTTTTTTTTCAGAAATGACATGCCTCTTCCCTTTCTCTAGAACAGTGCTGTCCAATCGAATTTTCTTCGATGTTGGAAATATTCCATATATGTACTGTTCAATGTAGTAACCACAGGCTATTTGTGGCTGTTGTATACTAGAAATGTGTCTTCTGTGACTGAGGAGCTGAATTTTTATTTTAAATTTTAATTATTTCAAAGTTTAAAAACCACAGATGATTAATAGCCATTGTATTGGACAATAGGACTCTAAATTATAAAAATTTGCTCCTGCTAAACCCAGTGTTTTCCTGACTCCACAAGTCTGACATCTGGATTATTTCAATTTTTTGGTTTGGGGATATAAGTTAAAATCTGTTAAGAGTTATTTGATTCTAATACACTTAAATTCTAGCCAGTTCCTCTCTTTCCAAGTGAATCACTTAGGCAGATAAGTTTTCAGATACCTGAACTTGCTCTCGTTCTCTGACAAAATCTTGATTTTTCTAATGTTTTGAAGTCAGTGATAAATGTAACTCTGTTATTAATGTTCTCAAACATATTTTTATATCACTGAGTGATGGACTACCATGAGAGATATGCATATTAAAATAGGATGTTTTTCTCTTGTTTGATCATGTATCCCTTTGCCTAAAATGGCACATAGAACAAATTAGATGTACGTGAAGTAATTCTTTGTTAAACTCTTTGGATTTAATTCTTATGAACATAGTTTATTTTATTTCAGAATTGAGCTTCTTTCTATAAAATTTCTATTGAACATTTCTTTGGAAACTATTTTAGATTTCAGCTTAGAATTTATAATGCCATTCTCAATCAGTGTTGTTATTCCAGAATTTATTGATATTGGCAGAAGAGTCTGTTTATTGAAGCAATTTCAGGGTTGAGTAATAAGGAGATAATATTTCAGGGCCATTTGAATTTCTTTGCTTTATTTTCAAATTTTAGCACTAATTTTTTTAAAGTTAATTTTTCTTTTCCTTTCCTAGCAAAAGGATTGTATTATTGTTGATAGGTGTTTGTAGAAATCTCATAATGCAGAATTTCAATTATTTTGAGATCTAATAATAAAGTCTAAAATATAATTTTAAAGGAGAATGAAATTTATTCACATATGTCATGCAGATGCCAATTTAACATGGGGACCAAGTCTTAAATTAAGATAGTTTAATATGACATCATCTCAGAAGCAGAGGTTTCCAAATTAGATCATATGATACCAGCAGCTGTTTGTGTTTGGGATTAAAAGATTTCAATGTGTGTTTGGAAAATTAGCCAGGATATTGGATCAAGATGTCAGAGCGAGAACAAGCCTTTCCCCACTTCTCCCCTCTTTCCCAAATCTCTAAAAATTGCATAAAAGTCAGATGTTTACATAGACTTATGTGTATACATGCATACACTTTGATTTTGAGAAACATGAAGTGGTGTTTCAATGGATCAGACTTCTATAAAATAATATTTTGATCTTGGTGTAAGCAAAGATTTCCTAAACTGAATAGAAAAATCCCTGATGATAAAGGAAAGGCTTAATAAATCATACCTTATTAAAACTGAGAATTTCTCTTAATAAAAATACAATTTTAGAAGAGTAAAATGGCAAGCTACTCAATATGTACATGTATAAACATATATATGTATGATTTTATGTGTAGTATATATAAATTCTAGAATTTGTATTCAAAATATATATATGAAGAATCCATGGGCAACCCAATAAAAAATTGGCCAAAGACTTGATATCTGCTATGGTTTGGATCTGTAACGTTTCCAAAGGCACATTTATTAAAGACCTGGTCCGAAGCCTGTGTTGCTGTTGTGAGATGGTGGAACCTTTAAGAGGTGAGACCAAGTGGGAAGAAGTTGGGTCATTGCAGGGTGTGCTCTTGTAGGGGATATTGGGACTGTGCCCCTTCCTATCTTTCTCTTTGCTTCCTGGCTACTGTGAGATGTAGCTTTCTCTGCCAGATGCTCCTGTCATTATGTACTGCCTTGCCACAAGCCCAATGGCTGTGGGACCAAGTAACCATAAACTCTAACCTACAAAACCGTGAGCCAAAGTAAGCCTTTTCTTCTTAAAAGTTGACTATCTCAGGTAAGTGGTTAATAGGAACAGAAAGGTGGCTAGCACAATATCCAAATGACTAATAAACACATAAGAGCAGCTTKCTATCATTATTAATCAGGAAAATTCAAATGAAGACAACATTAAGTTACAATTACATGACTTTCTGAGTAGTTCAAATTTTTAAAGACTTTTTTTTTTTTTTTGTACCTGGGATTGAACCCAGGGGTGCTTAAACATTGAGCTACATCCCCAGCCCATTTTTATATTTTATTTAGAGACAGGATCTTACTGAGTTGCTTAGGGCCTCACTAAATTGCTGAGTCTGGCTTTGAACTGGAGATCCTCCTGCCTTAGCCTCCCGGGTGGTTGGAATTGTAGGGGTGCACCACTGGGCCCAGCCAAGACTGACAGTGCCAAGTTTCAGTTAGGATATATGGTTATTGATTTCTCATTTGCTGTCCATGGTAGTGTAAATTGATGTGACCATCTACTGTTGGGCTTTATATAACAAAGCTAAATATATGCATATCTTATGACCAGTAAAGTATATGTTTTTGTGTATAAATATTTACCAAAATGCTTGTATGAGTATATTGATGACACAGAATTATTTAAAGAGCTCCAAACTGAAATCAGTACAATTATCCATCAACAGTAAAATGTGTATTTATTATGGTATACCCATGCAATAGAATAATATATTGAAAATAAAATGAATGAAGTACTGCCACACGTTGGCTTGGGCTAATCTAACAAATATAATGCTGATCTAAAGAAGCAAGATACAGAAAGAACATATTGTATGATTTCCTTTAAATAATGTTCAAAAAAGGCAAAACTGCTTTGTTTTTAGCAGTTAGGACAGTGGTTATGTTTGAGAGTTCTGAGAAGGAGTGCAATGGAGGTTTCTGAGCTGGTAATAATATGTTTTGAGATGGATTAGGATTACATGGCAGTCTCACTTTGTAACAAAGTCATTGAGCTAAATATACATTTGACTTGTGCATTACTCTGTATTCATGTTTATGCTTCAAAACAGTTTACTTTAGGGGCTGGAGTTGTGGCTCAGTGGTAGAGCACTTGCCTAGCACATGCGAGGCACTGGGTTTGATCCTCAGCAACACATAAAAATCAATAAATAAAATAAAAACATTGTGTTATCTACAACTAAAAAAATTAAAAATTTTACTTTAAAAGGGAATATGTTTTTCCCAATTTAATCTCATTGAAAATTAAGCTTGATGATATCAAATATGGATGACATAGAAAAATGAGTATACTGCTTGTGGGAATATAAGCTAGTAGAGCCTTTTTGGAGGACAATATTTCAGTGTCTATTAAAATTTAATATGCATATACCTCTTTTCTCAGGATTTAACTTCCTGGTATCCATTCCAGAAGTGCAGAATGGGCAAATAAAGGCATTTGAAAGAACTTAAGTGTCAATCACTAGCAGAATGGATGTAAAAACTGTGCAGCAATAAGATTGAATTGAATTGAATTGAATTATTTAATTTATTTCATTAAATACAATTCAATAAGATTGAATTGTATTTAATGAAATAAAAACATCTCCAAGATAATTATGAAAAAATTGTAGAATAATACAGAGAGCGTAGTATCATTTATACTAAAAATAAGAAGGTGCATTTTGACTCTTAAGTTAGCATCCAATAAGAAGTTAAATGAAGCAAGTATTGTTTTGTATTTGGATTTTAAAAAAAGAATCAAGGAAAACTTCATTAGAAATCCTACTCTGGTAGCAATAGAACAACATTTAAAATATCTCACTCAATACAATAATTACAAATTGAGAGTCCTCCCTGCTTTTTCAAAAGATAAGCTATAAATATTTGTTGAGTCATTTTCAACAACTGAAATATTTTTAATTGAAGTTTTTTTACTTTGTAATTATGTATTTGCATGAAGTTATAGGAAATAATTCAGAGTGATCTTGTGTACTATTGGAGGAAACACCTTGCAAAACTACTGTACCATATTACAACCAGAACATTGGCATTGGTACATTCTACTCATCATCACGATTCCTCAGTTTTACTTGTATGTGTGTTTATTTGGTTATTCTAATGCTTGTGTAGTTTCATGT